AGGATAGAAAACAGTTCTTCATGCAACAGGAACTTGGAAAAAGCAGGGGTAGCTATCTTATTTGTAGACAAAGTAAATTTCAAACCAAAACTAATTAAGAGAGATGAAGAAGGTCACTACATCCTTGTAAAGGGAATAATCCAAGAGAAAGAGATGATAATCATAAATATATGCACCAAATACTAATGCTAGCAATTATACAAAACAAATATTAAAGGACATGAGAAACTGAACAAGCACTAATACAATTGTATTGGGGGACCTCAATACCCCACTGTCACAAACATCTAGACAAAAAGTAAACAACAAAATACTAGAATTGAACCAAGCTTTTGAACAAATGGATTTAATGGACATTTACAGAGTGTTTCACCCCACAAAATCAGAATATACATTCTTTTCACCTGCACATGGGTCATTCTCCAAAAAGTGGATGTACATTGAGGCCATACTCTTAAGTAAAATTAATAGGATGCACGTGTAAATACTGAATATTTCTCTGGTTTGAAAATATAAAAGTATATATAAGGATCAAAATGTATAATTGATATTATATAATAGGAAGAAATGTTCTAAAGGAGTAGGGCAAGTGGGAGGGGGAGGGAAAAGGTAAGAAGGGAAAAGAAAAAAATATGAGAAAATGAAAACATGAAAACAAAGTCTTTGTAAATAGGTAGGAAGGAGGGTGTGAAGAGAGGGCGGGGGATTGGGAAAAAAAATAAGAACCAAGACATGTTATATAAAGGTACAAGATCCAAATGATTAACATAACTGTATTGTGTACCTAAATTGTACCAATAACTTACTAGGGAAAAAAAGAGAGACAAGCCTCTGCTGTCAATGGTTTGCAGTAGGCTAACTGGAACAGGAGGGTTTTGTGCATTGTTGCCCTGTGGCAAGTGCTGTGGGTGAAGATGCTCTGGGAAGACATTTGAAACAGAATCAACAACAAGCAAAGGCTTGTGGATATGAATATTGTTTAGGGGGAGCTGATTAGACACAGTGTAATATATTCGCTGATATTTATTAACCTTATAATATGGGGTAGTTTTCTCAATTCTCCTTGTGCCTCAGTTCCTTTGTGTTTAATAGGGAGAATATTTCTTCTATTCATCTCATAATTTGTAAGGTTCTTATGTGATCATGCATATGTAAAACAGTTTAGAAATGAAATTACATATGAATGTTGGTTACTAAGGCTACCATAATTGAGAACAGAAGGAACTTCCCTTCTTATCAAGTCACACTGTACCCATACTTTTGAAACTGGACTACTATGCTTTGGGTCTAGATGTCCCCCCAAAGCCTCATGCAATCATAGGTGAGACGTTTTCAGAAGTGGCTGAATCTAGAGTGTGTGATACTGAGATTAAAGGCATGTGATTACTAAACCAGTCCATGGATTGGTTTGGCACCATCCTAATCCCAGTAGTCAAGATAAGATAAAAGGGGCAGAAAGACACTGTTAAGGCCCATTGTTGCTTTTGCTATCTGCTTCCATGAACTGTTGCCCCTCTGCTATACCACCCTGCCTTGGAGCCAACAAATTAGGGACAAAACCCCATATAAACTGTGGGCTAAATAAACCTTCCCTCTTTTAACTTTGAGTGTTGGGTACTTTGTCTCAGCAACAAGAAAATTAAGTAAGACATGGATTATCTTTCTTCCTTCAAGAAAATTGCAGGATGCTGCAGAGTTGCAGGGGTTAACAGGTACCACGCCGGGCATAGTGGGCATGCCTGGCTGATGCTGGAAATCCCATTTCAGGAAGGCTCCCTTGTGGGTGTCATTAATTGAGTGCCTGGGAATGAGGAGGTCATGAAAATCAGCCATGGGATCTCTTAAGCATCTCTCCATCCAGCACTTCTCAGTGACCAAATGAGATGTACCATCTATGGAAACGATGGCTGGGTGTTGGGTATGGAGTTTCACCCATCTTGGATGCACGCACTGCCACCTTGCACTGGCATGACTGTGCTTCTGCGAGTTGTATTTAACTGACTTCCAGGGCATCTCCAGGGTCTGAAGAAGGAGACCCTCAGATTCCCTAACACTCACAGCTAAAGCAGACATTATTTTGAGAATATTTTGGAAGTTGCACTGCAGTTGTGGCTTTATTAAAAAAAAAGTATTGACATTTCTAAGCCCAGAACTATTTTTTAACAAGCTAGAAAATACTGCAAAACAGGTAGAACTGTTTCCTCAAGAGAATTCAGGGTAGTTAGAATGTACACTATTTTTTTTTTCCCTGTGTGTATTTCAGTAAAATATGTGCACTGAAATTTCAGGGCAATTCCTAATGCAGAAATAATCCAAAATATGGCAGATTTATAAGTGAGGCAATTTTTATTTATTTGCTAATGTGGATTCCCTTAAGAGTTCAAGTGTTCCGCTTGTTACTTATGGCTTCTCCTTGAAAAGTCTTACCTGGAAGGTCTCAGCAGCGTAAAACTTCAGGCTGCAGAGAGGTCTGAATTGAGCATCAGCCATAATTCTCTTTTTTCACTAAGTCAGAGTGGCTTGGAATCTACTAGCATGGAACCTGTTAGATAATTAATAATTCATAATTAAAGTAGCAGTACAAATAAATCAGCGTAACTGTAGACTTGGAGTCTGCTCTTTCTGTTATCTTTTTTGTCTCTAAGGAAAGGTAAGAGGAAAGTAGTACGCATTGGAAATCCTCCATTCAAAGCTGTACCTCCTTCTCTGAGTTCTGATCAATCTATTCTTAAAATACTCTTTTAAAGGGGATTAAGCATGCTCCCTCCAGTCTCTGCTGCACACCAGGACATAGAGATGTGTGAGATGTCTGGTCATCCTGCTGCACCTTTCTGTCCAGAAAGAGATGGGCATGAAGCAGCACCTGCAGTGCCACATGCTTTGTTCCTGTCCTGTGGCTTGACCAAGGCACAAGAAGACAGTTTCAAGAAGTGAGAGAAGCTTGGAAAACATCAGGAGAAAGGCGACTTTTGAGTGCAGGAGGAGCCAGGCTGTCCTGCGAAGAGAGTGGAGGAAGGAGGAGGAAAAGCAAAACTGTGGGAGTGTCTGTGTTCTTCACACTTTAGGAAAGCAGGCCCTCAGTGTGCTGGGTGAACTGGACGTGGGCTTGGGCATTAAATAGCAGAGAGTTTCCCTCATGCAAAAGAGCTCTACTGTGGAGAGCTAAGTGTTAGCAGGAGAGCTATGGGATTAGATTGTTGTCCAAAATGGTCACTCTTGCCATGTGTAGGAGAGACACTGGAAGGATCCAAAAGCACAAAGAAACCATGTGGAAGGTTCCAGGTGAAGGCCTATTGCAGTTTTCCAGTGAAAATTGGTGAGAATCTCAATCAGAATGGTAGCAATGAAAAGAACTCAGAGAAATGGGTATTTTCCTGTACTGAGCTCTGAGTTGAACTGATAAGCAAGGCCTAGAAGTGAGACATGGTGGGTAGTAAGACCCAGGGCTCATGTTGGGCTCTGTGGTGGTTAAAGATACAAGTACATGGCCCTGGCCGGGGAGAAGAAAAGTTATTTGTGAAAGATGTTATTGTTGCTGTTAATGTACTCTTCCTAGTTGCCATCACTATTGTTTTAGCAGCTTGTACTTGCTGAGTGCTTACCTTATAACAGGCACTCTGGTAAGCTGTTATTCCATTTAAACCTCATACCAAGACAAATTTAGCCACTACTAACATCTGCATTCACAGGTGAAGATGCCAAAGCCATAGAGGCGGAATCAAATTCCTGCTTCGAATCCTCTAGCAGGTGATATGCGGAGCTAAGTCTGGATCTAGAGCCCTGCTCCCAATCACCGGGTACCATTCTGTTAACAATACATTTTGTAGCACAGATGGCTCACAACTTACAGTGATCCTATGTAGGATTTTTGATGATACAAAGCCATTTCTCAGAAGAAATCTTATCTTGACTTTTTAAAAAAAATTTCAGATCTTAGGCTAGTGCTGTGCAGTATAAACTCTTTCACTATTACTCCAATAGCGAAGGTGTGACACACCTTCCCATCAGCCACAGTTTGAGATGGGGAAGCTGCCATTTGCAGTGTGTTGTGCTGCTAAACCACAATTTTTAGTTCATTGGTTTCAGTCATCTGTTTATATAGAAGGTTGCAATTTTTAAAATTTTTCAATAAAATTTATATTTGTTACCTAGGAAAAATCAAGGAACAAGAATTTGAAGAGAAAATTTTCTGTTATGCTCCACTGTTATGTGTGTTCAAAAATGGCACATTATGCATAGGTTCATTCTTATGATAGTTTCAAATCAGGATATATTTATTATGCCATAATCCATTATGAGTTAAGAAGCATCTGTACAATCCTATGATGATACCAGTAGCAGGGACATTCATTCTGGCTTGTTGAGTCCAAAGAGAAAGCAATTAACTCTAATACAGGAAATCACAGAAAACTGTACTGAGTTTTAGAGAATGTATTTTAAGAGATTGATAGGAATGTTCAGGTTAAGATATGAAAAGAAGGGAATTCGAGTAAAACATACCCTGGCAAGTTGTGAAATGCCCAGAAGATGATGATTGACCGGTGCTTTTGACTTCTGAGTACGCTCTTGGAAGAGGCTTGTGATTGGGGGCCACTCAAGGTTATTCACTCAAGCCACTGATTCCACTTAAAGGAATGGATATGTGTATAGATGAGAACTCTGGGAAGACTTGAAATTTTCCCTTGGATTCAAACTTTGAGTCAACAAGCAGTAATTTCCATCTTCATTGCCTCTAGTGCCCTGAACTACACACACACACACACACACACACACACACACACACTTTTGCTTCAACAGGGCATAGTCCTGACCTTTCTTCTGTCAGGAGTGCACTATAAATGTCAGTGGCCATATCCTTGACAAAGCAAGCAACCTGAAATTTATTATGAAGAACAATATGCATCACAAAAACTTGCTATCCATATATTATAGGCTAACGCTTTCTTTTAAATGCGAGGAATACTTCTCAGGCATTTCTTCTCTCCTGTGTTTCTTTACAGTCCCGCCACAGATCATGAACATCTCCTCAGATGTCACTGTGAATGAAGGAAGCAGTGTGACCCTGCTGTGTCTTGCTATTGGCAGACCAGAGCCAACTGTGACGTGGAGACACCTGTCAGTCAAGGGTAAGCTATTCTCTGAGTGCATCTGTTAAAGGGGTTGTTCTCATCCACACACAAAAGTAGGCATCAAGCAGCACACTGCGCATGTACTACAGTAATGTAAAGTCAAGTAGTCAGTGTGAACCAGGGGCTGAGTATTCCATTCCAAAAGAAAAATGTATAGCAGAAATTTACAGAGTTTTCCCATCTTTTCCATGGGCCTCGGAAGGCTTTTGTTTACCAAACTAAAAATAACTGTGGTGAATAAGCATAACTTACTTGAAGATATTGATTTCTCAAGTGGTGAAGGGCCTATGCCTTTTGTAGTACAGGGCAAAGGTGACAGACCACCATCAGGCACTTTGGCTTTATGGTGAGTGCAGAAAGGATATCTGGCCTCTGTTCATTCAAGGTATTTATCTAGAGCTACACGTGTTTGACCTGTGTGTAAATAGCTCACTTTGAGTGCAAGAATACAGGAGAAATGCCTAAGTGCATCTGGGCCTGACTTGGCTGGGTACTGAATAATTGGTAATGAAACTTTGACTATGGTCATTTTCAACTTATTAGGAAAACAACCAAAAGGACCCTAGGCTCTATCACCTTGGACATAAAACTTGCTCCACGTTGAATTTGAAGAAATGGGCAAAGAGCCCCTTGATACTAGAAATTATGATTAATTTTAGAAATTATACAAGGAACAATTGCTCCCTCAGGCACCAGAAAATTCAATCATGAAGCCCAGTAAAGGAGGCTATATGGCGTGTGCCTGTATGTAATAGAAAAATAATGTACATTTTAAAGAAAACATGGGACTAAATCTTAGTGACCTTGAGAAAAGACAAAGATCTGCTAAGTCACAGAAGTTATGCCTGTAAAAGAAAGAGTGATGTGTATTCACTTTAAGGCCTGCCATAACAAAGCATCAAAAAATGTGTGGCTTAAATAATAGAAATGTATTTCTTCACATTTTTGGAGGCTGTGTGTCCAAGATCAAGGTATTTGCAAAATTGGTTCCTTTTGATTCTGGTGAGAGAATCTGTTCCATTCCTTTTTTCTCACTTCTAGTGATTTGCTGGTAATCTTTGAAATTTCTTAATTTGTAGTTGCATCATCCTGACCTCTGCCTCCACCTTTATGTGGTATTCTTTGCATGTGTGTCTGTTATGTGTGCATTCACATGTCCCCTTTTTGTAAGAACACAAACTACATTGTATTCGGGCCTATACTAATGAACTCATTTTAACTTGATTTTCTCTAAAAGGTCTTATTTTAAAATAAAGCCACATTCTGAGGTCCTGGGGATTAGGAATTCAAGATATTACTTGGCAGGAGGATACAACTTAACCCATAGCAGTTTTCATCAAAATTAGACACATTATTAAAATTTTAATTCATTTATGAGAAGTTATGCAACACACTTAAGGAAGCAATGTGTTATACGCATCTGTGACAAAAGAGTTACATCTAGTGTGTATAAAGAATTCTTACAACAAATTCCCATAGCCTACCTGGAAACGAAGAAACATTTGAATTGACAATTTCAAAACAAGATTTGTGAATAGCAAATAAGCACACAGAAATATATTCAAATTCATTATATACAGAAATAAAAATTAAGCCATAGTAAGCTATCGCCAGCACAACTACTGAAACTACTGAAGAGATAAAGATTTAAAAAACTGTTAATAACAAGTATTAGGGCAGTGCTTATATATGAAATCTGGGGCTTTGCAACAGTATAAACACTGTGGAAATATTTTGACATTTTGTTGTAATACAAAAAATATATTTAGCCTATGACCTAGCAGTTGCACTCCTAGGTATATACTTAAAATAATTACAAGCATACATCCACAAATATACATAGGACATAGTTATTCTTACTAGCCTCATTCATAACAGACGCATACAAGATATAACCCAAGTAAGCACCAGTAAGCAAGCAGATGGACTGGGTACATTCAACAAAGAGATCACTCCTCAGTGTTGGGAACCATTTAGCCACCCACTAGAATTGTGAGTCTCAAAATACTACACTGAGAAAGAGAAGCTAAGCATAAACACTTGCACAGCATATGATTTCATTTGTATGAAGTTCTAGGCTAAGTAAGACTAATTTATTGTGAAGGATGCTAAATTAGTGGCTACCAAGGGTAGGACTTCAGAGGAACTGATTGCAAAGGTTCCCAGGAATTTGGTGGTGGAAGATGGAAAATTACTATATCTTAAGAGAAATTGTGGTTACATTGTTTTTTAAATTTGTCTAAACTAATAATACTGAACCTTTAAAATATGTGCATTATATTGTATGTTAATTAAATTTCAATAAATTATGAACTGTAAATACAGACATGTAGGAAACACTGACCTGAATTTTCCCCTAATTTCAGGCATCAATTGTCTTAGCAGCACCAAATAGGAGACTGATTTGTTCCAAGTGGCATCACCTAATCTTTTTTTGTTTTCTTTCATGTAAACTGAAAACATGTACTTCTGCCCCTGCCTCATTATAGGAAAAGAAAACACTAATAAATCTGCTTGAAAATCTTTACATAAAGACATCAGGTAGTGAAAACTAAAATGTCAACAGTTTGAAATAATATTTATAAGAACATTAAAATACACGTGAGGGACTCACCTAAACTCAATTCTAATATAAATAGAACAATAGTGTATCTTCTCAAAGACATGAGCCCCAGGGAATCTTGCCTAATGCCAGGGAGAATTTTGGTTTTACATTACATACAAAAATATGCCTAGCCATCAGAACAATTTTTTTCATATTTGGTAAAGTCAGATGTATTTATAAATGCTTGAAATCCCAGAATGTACTTATTTGATCCTAAATACATAGTTCCTAAGCCTAGAAATTTAGTAAGAGGAAATTTGACTTTGCATGTGTTTTGAAACAATTCTTTTTAATGGTAAATAGGTAATATTTACCTTTTAAAAGAAAGTAGATACATTCATATTCACAACCTTTTATATAATGTGACAGTTGCAATTCAATCTTAAAAAAAAAAAAAAGAAAAACAACAACAGCAAATTCTAAATTAAAATGGCCTTGCTCCTCTTTCAATCTCTCCGGCTGTTTTGTTTCCTCACACTCAGGCCTTTCTGAGCGTTCATTTCCACTATTGTCTTTTCCCTCCCACTGTCAGTGACATTTAAGCTTTTCAACTCAAAGGACTAAGGTCCGGAAAAGTTCTGGAACCTGGAGAGTTTGCAAATTTAAAATTTGCATCTTCCCAATGGTTACAAATATTTATTTTTTAGGAAGAACGTTTATCTCACTTTGAATTAGGAATTTGTTTTAAAGGTTTGGAAATATGAACAGGAAACATTTTGAGAAAATTTTGCTGGTTATTTCAGCACAGAAGCATATGAAATAAAGCTTCCAATGACATTTCCTTTGAAATTCCAATAGGATTACATGGAGGATTTAGCTCACTGGATAGCCGTGTTCCCTAAATGCTAATGCAGTGTTTGAAATATATAGCTGAAATTTGGAGATCTTTCTAGGAATTAATAAATAAGTTTTTCACTTAGGATAAAAGATTTCATTTCTTATGATGAAGAGACGATTAAAGATTATTTTAAAATGACTAAGTATATGCTGTCAATCCCTAGAAATTATAGAACATGTTGAAAATAAATCAATAAATATATCCATTATCACACTAGAAAATAATAATGATATGCTTTGGTGAGTCAGAGACTATGAAGAACCTCTGAAATATAAACGTAGATAGCTGTAATGAAGAAAACCTACAGCTCAAAGTATAATATGGTCTCTTCTTGAAATGATAGGTAGTTGGAAAATAAAGGGCTTCAGGTAACACTGGAAATATTTTAAACTGGCTGGCAATGTGAGGAAGAAGAGGAGGGGATTCTATCCCTGGTTAAAAAAAAAAAAAGACAGAGGAAGGGAGGTCTGGCAGCATTTGCCAATTCTCCTGGTGTAAGTACTTCCATCATTCCACTTTCTTGGGAAGCCTTTTGAAGGAAACTCAATTTTCTCATACAGACAAACACACCAAAAATAAGTCCTTCTTAGGAAAGCAGGATGAAAGTATTAAGGAATACCTTCAGCATTCTGGATCTGCAGCCTGGGCAGGCAGCTGCAGTCTTCCTAATCTCCACTTTCCTCTGCAATGCTGAAAGGATGCCAGCATTCCCAGAAACAGCATTCCATGCACCTCACCTCCAAGGAAAGCTGGAAACTTTACAGCACCATAAATGTGCACATCTCCAAGAAAAGCACTCTGCAGACATAGCTTGGGGTCTTTCTTACACTTGACTTTTTGACCACCAAGCATTTGACATTGTTTTATTCTTTGTCTTTAGATGTAAGAAACTTTACTTAATTTTTGTACAGCAGATAACAGCTTATTAAAACCTATATTCATATAGGTTTGATAGAGAATATGGGACTGCTTAATCACCTCCACACACAAAGAAATCTGTCCTGTGTGAACTAAATCTCAGGAAATTAGGATAAGGGTGGAATATCACAGCCTGCTACCTTAAAGAGATTTCTGCAAAAAAGGAGAGGTACCTCTCAAAACAGGTAGACAAAGTACACAGACCAAGTGGCTTGTGTTTCTTCAATACATTGTGAATCATCTGGGTTTCAAGAGTTATTTTCTTTCCCCTTCTTGAAGAGCAGGGGGAGGGAACCTGCAAAAGGGGGAAGGACCAGCAAAAGCAGGAGACTGGCTCTTCAGGCCACATCAGTGATGTGAAACCAAAGGCGCAGAGAGGTGTGGGAGGCTGAGGCTATAGAGTCTTCATTGTTTTAAGGAGAGAGTGTGGTCTTTCTTTCGCTCTTACAATGGCACAACAATCTCCTCTAATCCCTTCGGCATCTGGCCCCATTTTTGATGACATGTTTAGGAAGGCCAGATGTTTGGGGAACTTAATAAAGTCTTCTTTTCTGTCTCCACTGAGATTTTAAGATGACAGCCATTCACCTGTGAATGAGTTGTTCATACAGTCTACTCATACACAGTAGTACCTCA